AGACATGGCATCAAAGGAAGGAGCGTTTACTATTCGATACACTGCACATTACATCGTGAAGGCCGTACGCTCGAATACTAATACCAGTGACGGGCTCGTACAAAAGACAGCACCAAGAGATACGGCGAGGACCTGCGGAGTGATGGCCTGCGCTTTCGGCGCGCGACCACACTCCGGTGAGCATGACGTCCCAGGACTTTCCTGGCGCGGCGGGGCCAGACGGCCCCACGCCGGTGGTGCGGCAGCCGGGCCAGCGCCGCGGCCGGAACCTGGTCCCTGCGTCTGGGTGAAGGGGGGCGTTACGCAAGGGCGATTGGGGCGTGTGCTACTTACCCTCCATTCTCCGTCGTTCACAGACAGCGCTGGGGTAGGGGCGTGCGCTGGTCAGCCCAGACGTGGCGGCCGCTGAAGCAGGGTGCATGTACACTACACAGACACCCGCTCTCCGGTGGAACGCCACGGGATGAATGGATCTGGATCCGTGTGCAGCACCCCAGTCGAAGGGCTGCAGCAAGCGGACGCTCTGACACGGGCGCATTGGCCTGTATGCCACATTCGATAAGGTTAGCGTGTAGTCGCGTGGCATCCAGTCGTCTGATGATTGGGCCCACCAGCAACGGCTACGCCTGTTTTGACTACAGCGAAGTCGAGTCAATAACGGCACTGACGATGGGTTATTGCGATGCGCAGCGACACCTCGACGTGCTGTCGTCCTGGCCGTCGGAAGAGAATGCCAGCTTCTACCAGAGGCGGCGCTTCCGTAACACAATTTTGTAGACTCAACGGTAACTCTGCTCGAAGGAGGCGATCAAGACACCTGCAGCTGAAGTGGGTTCAGGACTGTGACCAAACGCCCAGCGAGACCATTTAATGTAGCCGAGTCATTGCGCTACAGGGTGTATCTTTGCGAACCGGAGGTACCCGGACGAAGGGCCAACTTCTCAAGCGCTGCTGCCCTGTGGCGACGAGGCTGCGGCAGTCGACGTGGACATGGTAAACATCATTCCATTGACCGCTGTGCTTGAGTGCCCACACCGGTCAAAACGAGAAGCAACTGGCAGATCGTTTTTTTGTTTGCGACTGGTATTTGAACAAGGGTATGAGTTCGTATTGGCGTATCCACCGACGGGCTATGGCCGTTCACAGGGCCCATTGTGATTGGTCGCTCATTGCCCACCATCCACGGAGGCTGAAGATCTAGCGGGGCGTGGGAACAAAGCCAATGCTTGCTCGGGAAGAAAGCCAGGCACGCCCCCCTTTACTGGGTAATGTACCCATGTTCGTGGTTGGCAGGCATTCGGACCGGGGAGGCGTGCCTACACCCCTGCTCTTCGATTCACTGCGAGAGATCCTGTGGGTGTGCTCTCTCCATCCTTGTCGCCGCATGGTGCAGGGGCATGGGACACCCGACGCCATCTCGCCAACAGAGTCTCGTCTGTGTACCTCCTCGAGTCGTGTGAAAGCCATCTCTTGGCCGTGTACCAGCGCGCTGGGGTCCCCATGCGGAGATATCAGCAAGTTGGCTGGGCGTGCCTCGTCTGCATTGGGCAGTCAGGTCCGTGAGGGTGGGTATCTGGAGGTGTTCGTAAAATCGTCCCTAGCCATCAAGGGCGAACATGCCTTGACCGTCGGAAGGTCGACGCTCTCCGGCGTCTGCAGGCGCCCACCCTGCGTGAGGGTACAAGGTTGGATTCAGGCAGCCAATAACACCACCACACACGCGCGAACGATGTCCCCGGAAGGCGACGAATAGCGAAGTTGCATTTTGTGAGGGCCTCCTAGTTCTCGAGCAATGGGCATAGCGCAGGCGAAACGCTGTGCACGCACCGGCCACGCTGCTCTCTCTGCTGACGGTTTGATCGTTCCTTGCCCCCGGGCTTGTCCTCATGTCCCAAGCAGCCTCACAGGTAGTTGATGTGGAATGGCTGGTGACTACCAGGTTTTTGTCACAGCATTCAATTTATATTGGCCTGGCATGAGGAGTAGTTCTTGATCATCGCGTTGCTGGCGGCATACAGCTTTCTTCAGCTTTGGTATCGATCTCGGGACTCTACATAAAGAGAGTCGTCGTGCCAAAAGGCCCCTTGGGACCTTCCCTTGAAAATCCACCATGCCATCAGGCTGAACGGTAGGCTCACGAACCAGCTTCAGCATCACCTATCGTTTGCGTAGGTGTCCGAACGGGGCACCCGATTCTCCCAACAGAAAGGTCTCGACGCTCGGGCAACGGAAGCACGCTTCGACGTCATGGCATCTACCGATTTTACGTTCTTCTATGGTCTCAAACAACAAGGTTCGTGAGCGTGACGTTATAGGCACCTCGCACGAGGCTCACATTTCTAGATTTGTACGAACGCGGTGAGAGGGAGGTGAAAGAATACGCAGAGGACCACGTCAATTTGGAAGACAAGTCCGAAAGCTTGATGAAGCTACAGAGCGCCAGTAACGATGGAAACAACCACTCCAACTCTGCTGGATTCAGCGCACCAGAGATATTGGTTCAAATGATGACCGACTGCGGTGGGTTACCGACGGCGCTCGACGTCGACTCTAGTATTCTGGGCTCGCCACTTGCCGGCCAAAGGTTGAATCCCTCAAACCATGCGCCATCACCAGGCCGCGATTGCGAGCTTCGGCAAATGTCGCAAAATCGATTGCCAAAGTTGCTGAATTCAAACATTGAGACAAAGAGTGTGAACGGAAACGGAGCGATGGGGCCGGTCGACGATTTGGAAGTCCCACACAAGACGCCGTCGCCCAGTCTTGGGCGCATTATTTACAAAGAAGCTGAGACGTCAGAAGGGCTACCGATCATCCCGGACCCGATCGGCACTGATGATACTGACAGAACCCGGGAAAAGGCTCATATGCTGGACGGCAAAATAGAGCCATCCCAACTGCTGCGCGGCCACTTGGCGTGTATTCAACATAAATTCAAAAAGTTGGAGCAGAAAATACTACATTGAAAAAGGAAAACGCCAGCTTAGAAAGACGTAAGGATCGTTTGGAAAGCGAAGTGGACCGTTTAGAAAGGCGGGTGGAATGCTTGAAACGCCGCAAAGCTTCACTTGGAAGTGAAGTATCGGTGTTACAAAGAGAGAGAGGGGGGTGGTGCTTTGAACAAGAGGGATCTTTCGATAGTTGCAGTGACTGATGAAGAATCGTCTTTGCGGGGCTATGTTGAGGGAGCAATGGTTTTGAATCCAGGTAGCGAACAAGATCGGACTCCAAGCCAGCCGCAGTATTCCAGGATGGAAGTTGACTCCCTGAGCGGGGACTAGCTTGTGGGCTGTGTCTGGTGACCACCGACTCATTAGCAGCCAGATTGCATGATGGGGTGTCCCTGACCTATTCGTCGTTCGGGCGAGCACTCCACGAAGCACACCTCTCAAATGTCATGTCATTTGGCTCTGGGAACCACAGTCTTTGTCAGCGGTCTGCATCACATACGAGACGGATCACCTAAAAGGGTCCTACTTGTCCGAACATAGAAACAGACCGCTGGAGTAAGCTCTGGCAAGAGGTCCATTTGAGAGAAGAAGTGGCGTTGTTCTTATGTCTCCATGGCCGCAAAGGGAGTGGTGATACTTCTCGTCCCGAACTCATGTCTGATGACGACCATCACCGTCCCTATTGTATTTGTTCGAATGCTCCGCCAGATGTGTCGGTGTGGGAAGTGCCCCATGTGTTTCTGGCATCAATTGAACTACAAGACAATTTTGATCATTGGATGGTACTGCTCTCAACTGGTAGACTAAAGAAAGGATCTATCGGCATAAGGCACGAATACGGCCTGAGAATGCAAGGGTCTAAGCCATCTAGCTGCTGCTCCCCTCGTTTCGCTCCATACCTATTGCTGTATTCATTTCTGCACTTTCGTCTTTGCGGGAGCACTCCACGCCAAAAGGCCTCAGATCGGACATATCCATACCGTTGATGATTTGCTCGGCTGTTATGATACAGGCACTAGGACATCCGGGAAACCTGGCGACGATCATTCCACAAAACGACGTTCCCCTAACCAGCCACAAGCTGTTGGTTCCGTAGACTATCAGCGTCAGACTTTGGGGAGATGCTCGTGTTCTTATTTGAACTGACCTAAGGGTGTATCCAATTCGATCTTGCGTGTCCTTATGGTGGTGTTTGTGGGTGACTTCCAATATGTCTCTCCAGGAACCAAACGCGCTCTGAGAAGGGTTGACCCATCCATCACGATCGACAACGGCCCTGCCGTGAGCTCGTCGTCCGTACAATATGAGTCGATGGTCTGTGACTGACCCGACGTCCCGGAAAAGGTAAACTTGTTCTCAAGTTGGGGCCATGATCGCGGTTTCATGAGAGTGTATTCACACATGGCGGGGGCCGAAGTTTCCTGTCTGGTCCAGGCGTGGAGGAAGTTGGTAGCAACGACTTCGGCGGGTTGCCAATCGATAGCGAGCGCAGTTACGCCAACTATTGGGCAGGGCGAAACCGAGATGTCGGTTTCGGAGTCGGAGTCGGAGTCGGAGTCGGTATTCTCTTCGGAGTCGGCATTCTCGTCGGCGTAAGTGCAAACATCTTGATCGACTTGATCGTTATCACCGAACGACTCTAACCAATGCGTTGGCTCAAAAGCATGTTGCAAAACTCCGCTTGCCGTTGTCATGAACATGCCACAAAGATGGGGGTTCTTCTTCCCGAGAATGGCGGTGGTCAACACTCCTCCGACTCGGACTAAGTCTTGCTTGATCACTTCGTCATTCTCCATGTAGGTAGAGCAGCAGAACAAGCCGCACGCTGAGTCAGGTTCCGATCCCAATGCGCGGCCAACGTGATAAAGAACTTTTCCGCCACGCAGTTCGAAAGCAGGGGCGCGTTGCAACTGTTCTAGAGGGATTAAACCACCGTTGTTCGCAAGGTCTTGGGACAGGAGCTGCGTCATTTTGTCGTCGCCCTAATAGAACGGAACTTGTCGCTTAGATGCGCAATGTCGCGAGGGGGGCGATCGGGTATTTTGTAGGCCGACGTCATTCAGCGAAGCTGCGCGGGTTTATGGCTATGAGAGTCAAGTGCTCATGGAAGCTGGCGCATTCACGTGTGTCATTACGCCCTGGGCCTGCCGCCGACCCAGCCCTGCAATTAGCCCAACGCTTAGATTACCAAGCCACGAGCACCGGCCCCAGCCTGCTCCTCGTGTAACGTGGACACCGGTCAAACGTCTTCTTTTGTAAGCACACAGTTTGATCAACTTTCAAACTCACGCCCTCGTAGACCAATGGTTCCTCTGGTCCCATGCAGCATGCCAATACATTGATGGTTCAAGCGGGTATTCATTTTCCAGGTAAGATTTGAAAACCTTGGGTCCACCCCTCGAACCTGAGCAAAGATTGGCCGTTGATGAAGGTCTTGGATGCACCCAATGTACCATTTCTGTGCGCTTCGTTTACAATGGATTTATGGGGCGCCTCTCATGGTGCCCAAGACTTCCATGGCGGCTTACTTTGGAAGTAATTTCAACCCTAACTGCCAACAAAGATTGTCCTGGCATACCCAATCATGGCAATGCTTGATAGTATCCACCGGCTGAAGGCAAGAGTAGATAATTTGCATCACAGGGACACATTCTCTTCGTCCAGGTCATCACGACGTGCATGACACCATGTCATGCCGGTGACTACGGCACCTCCTTGGAATGTAGTGTGACAACACCCTGGCGTGGGATAACGAAAGTGCCTGCTCAGCACGCAGACGCCCCTCGTCAAAACTCATCCTATCGTCGCGGGACCCAGTCGTCTCACCAGCATGACCGATCGATGCCGTGCACAACGGCATCGCATACTCTGTGTGAAGAATGGAAAGCACCACCGTCGCAAGCAGCTAGACAGATGACTGGTGCGTATTACGACGTACCAGCAGAGCCGCGGAGCCACCCACGGTCGATAGCTAGACTGGTTGATCGAATAACGCTTGTAGTAGCCCACCAGGACTTTACACTGATGCGGCTCCATGGGTCATGCTCTTTCGCGGCTTTTAAACTGCCACAGCGGGAGCTGTTCGATGTGAACATTCTTTCCCACATATCTGCTCCTTACTTTTATCAATCAAGATGCAGAAGCTGCCGTTTGAACTTGTTTTTGACATCGCCAAGCAGCTCGCCCCCAAGGATGTTTGGAGTCTTCGTCGTGTCTGCAAACAGTTTAAATATCTCACACAAAATGAAACCATTGCAAAAGCGATACTCGAGGTTCGAAGAGATGTTCCCCGAACCCCTCCATGAATCAGTTTATAACCTTGTATCAAGAAGCACGCTGCGTATTCGATCGAAATGAAGGAGGCGCGACAGTCCGGATGTTACGCCCAGGCATTACGCCGACGAGTCAAGTTCCAAGATGCTGTCACCACAGCCAAACCTTACTCGGTGGGCATTGTCGCGTGGGCTGATCAGTATATATACTGCAACGGCATGCTCTGCTATACACAGAACGAAACCAAGGAATTTTTCTTGCTCGATCTTCATCAGTCGGCGCCGAACGAGATCGTAATCAACGTAGACGAACTTCTTGCTACCACAAATCAAGTCCTTGCGAGCGAGAAGTACGAGCTCAGACCCATACACTATTCAGAGAACATCCTGTCTTGGCTGTACATCCCGCTTGAGAATACAGGCCGCAACAAACTTTTTGTCACCAATATCGAGAGACGCGCCATTTTCCCTCCCATAGACATTGACTCACGCCAGAAGCTGTTTGTCAGGAATAATTCGAATTATTTATACTGCGGCACTTATCCCGATACCGGCGATGACAACGATACCGGCGATGATAACGATACCGGCGATGACAACGATACCGGCGATGACAACGATACCGGCGATGACAACGATACCGGCGACGACGATGACAACTTCTGGAAGCTGCAGTGCTTCAACATCGGGGGGAAAGAATGGCTGAATGGCGTGCTTGAACTCAAGGAAGTCGCCGGTTCTGATGTTGGTACCACCGCGGCCTTCGAGATTTTCGGCCAGCATTTCTACGCGGCTTCAAGCGTGCAGCCGACTGCATTCGGCGAAGATGTTTATCTTTCACGTTACTACGGCGTTCGCTATCCCCTCGGTGTATGCAGAGCCGAGGATAAGCAGCTGCTATCTGAGTCCATGTTTCGTCGCGATGACCGCGAAGGGCCGATCAATGAGATATGGAGCACCCTTAGTCTCGAAAAGAACCCCAAAACAGGAGTCCTTGAGGTCGTGGAGTGCCGAAGGGAACACTCTGCTAAGGGCGACGGGAACTCGAGGACCGCGTACCGGACGGCAGTTCAGATTCGCAACGGCGATTTTTCTGACGATTTCCTGGTTAGAGAAGGCAGCGAGCAGAAGCTCGTAGAGTTTTGTGGCTCTCAAGGCCAGGCACCAGACCTCAAAGAATATCCGTCAACTCCACACCGAGGGGACGATGGCTTCACCCAGCCGTTGGTCACCTCTAACAATTGCTTTATGAGGTCCTATAACATCCACTGCGAAGCGTTTATAGACCTTTTCAACCTTACCGCTGCAGATGGCCTGTCTTCTGGTCTGAACATACGAACCATAAGTCGTTCGCAGGCGGTAACGCACGAGCAACCAGATTCTCAGGAAATGGGAAACAAAGCCAAACGAGTTGAGAGTATCATATCTTACTGGCCACCGCAGACTCACCCAGACGAAAAATGTGACGGATCGAAATATCTGGCTCACGCCCTGCGTGTTCAAGAACCCCACTGGGACATTTTCGGAGTAGCTGATGACCGGTCTCTTGTTTACATTCAGGGAGGCCGAGAGCCCAAAGATCTGAACCCTCTGGTGATCATCTCTTTTGACCCTTCCATCAAGCTGCCTGGGGTTTGGAAATGGCTGGGGACCCGTCCAGAGCAACGAACATGTGAGGTTGAACCTCATTCAGGCGCAACGGCAAAGCGAAGGGGACTGGTCACACCGGCTGTGGTCTCCAGCGATTGCATCAATCAACGGCCTTAGCCGTATTCGCACCTGGTGCTTAGCGTCGAACTATTGAAGCCGTGTCGCCGAGCCGGCTACGTGCGCCATTAATTCGACATAGCATGCGAGATAGGACGTGATAGAGAAGTTTTCTGCAGAACAGCCCGCTGCATAATAACTGGAAGACAAACAGTAATTAATGTAGGGCATCTCGGGGATTGGCAGTTTGTTGGAGCTTACGGGACTATCAATGGACTTTCATAAGGCTGGCTCAGATGGTTTTCACATATCCTCGTGTTAAGTGACTGAAGCAGACAGCTGCGTCTAGACGTTTCTGAACCCTCCTGACCTCGGTATAGAACGGATAGCCCCCAAGGCTGCACAGGCAAGATGCCCTGCCTATTAGATGAGGTCAGACCTCAGCCGACTGGACGCCTCTGAAAGATGCACAGAACAGGACGGAAGATTCTTGCATCAAATCATGTGTAACGACCTTGAGAAATTGAGACCAGAATCCCTCTCAGGCTGAATCTCGAGGTAAAACGGTGGTCTTCTTGTTACCAGCAGTCGTAAAGTGACTCCAAGTGTCGTCATCGGAGATGTTATTTAACATCTCGAACTCGAACCATAATTAGACTTAAGCAAGCCATATGACGTAGCGAATCATTTCTGTAGACATCTTCAAGCAGTTTGACACCACGCAACTCGTTAGATGCTGTTGATCGTTCACCGCACCAGCACCTATGTTATCGATAGGGAGTTGAAAAAGAATGACCAAGGCCATGTAGAGAGACGTCTTCCAGTCACTGGGGCTCATGGAAAAGATACCCGTGACGAGTACCTCGCCCAGGATAATAATATGTATACTCAGACGACTCTATGCAGCTTTTCAAGTCGCTTACTTTAGTGCATTCCTGCTTTTCATTCATAGAGATGTCAGAGATCTCGCACGGCTGTGATTTGATCGACTCTCACTTGGGTTCCTGATCTCCCGAAGCTCGAAATCTCGTCACGTTGCCAGGTTTTTGTTCGAAGTGGGCTGATTTGACTGACTCGAAAAGTTCGTCAATGGCCGTCCAATCTCGACCTGAACCTTTCGATCGGAGTCGACCGTCTTCGCACTCCCGGCACCGCCAGCAGGATGTAGCCATTCATCCAGCATGTCTTGTCCGAAATAACTTCAATCGAGACTTTGAGAGAAAACCGGTGGCTTATCAAAAGAACACTGGAAACGTGCTAGTGTCACCCTCGAGCGTCGTGATGAATGTATCGAATTGTTCCATGTCAGCACGGGAAATGAGTTATAAGAAGAGAAGCGTGGATCTTTCCGAGTGATTAGCTATCGCACGAGTTCCCACCCATGAACGAAAACAGAAACTGGCATCGCCTCAGCCCATGATAACGATCCGACAACCTGGCATTTAGCTACTTTGCGTTTGCCGCGTCGGAAGCCAGAGTCCGCATGTCTGAGCCAGCCTGAAATTCTGCTGAGTGACCTTTTCCAGAATTACGTGCCTCGAGTGGATTTCGCGAGATGATAATGCGAGGCAATATCCGTAATCTCATGTGTATACTGTGATACGAACGCTATCACGACCACTTCAATACCGAGCTTATGCGGATCCTTGCACACAAATAATTCTGGGCATCTCGCGCGACGGGATTAGCTGGCCTGTTGCCTAACTTGCGTTGGCAATGTGTAATTAGGTTGCCTGGTTGCCTTACACAATTAAGCCAATTATGGCAGCTGGACCGAGATATTCTAGAAGGGAAGGTAACGGTCTGTCGTATCTTTACCTCATGGCCAGCATCCCTCTCGTAGAGCCTTTACCGGGGTCTTGAAGTCTCCCACCTCTCGGATGTCGACCCAGAGTACCCGTCTAACGCCTGCGGCTGCCTCGTTGTGCGGGTATGCACCAGTGCGAACCATCATCCTTCCCATTCAGCCGTCGAATCCACCCGAACAGGCTGTCACGCACTGCTGTAAGTCCAAACTTCACGGGCGTTGCAGCTAATTGAGTCAACCTTTTTTGATTCCTCTACCCCTCTTGTCCTCACTCTTAAACGTCCACTCGTCCACCCAGTCAGTTTTGCACAGTCTCGCGTCTTATCTTTTAAGTTGCTATAACTTCATTCATTTCACCTAGACCAGTCATTTGCGCCGCGACGCTTTCTCGCTCTCATTGTACACGCACCCCCATTTCCCTCGCCGTCTCAAGCCGCTCCCAGCCTTCTCGTATCACTCAGTCTCCTTGCTTATCCTATCCCATCACGCGATGCACGGCTATAGCTCTTCAGAGGAGTCGGACGACCCTCGTCGCCCGCGCCCTGTGCCGGCATCAACAAACACCGCCGACAAGAAGAAGACGAAAAAGAAGAAGACGCCTCCGCAGCCTTCTATCAATCATATTTGGAAGAAGTTTCAGAACAAGAAGTTCGACAAGGCCTTGGCTGTGCTGCCATTCGACCCTGTTCTACCACCAGCAAGCTCGGATAAGCCCAACGAGTTACTTAGCGCTGGGTATGAGCGAGCTGTCGAGGAATGCCGCCGTAAAGTGAAAAAGATAATCCAAGAATGCCGTAGAGTCAACATGCGATATCGGGATCCCGGCTGGGATTTGGTAAGTCACCTCCATCTCAAATTCCCGCTGATCCGTATTTTGGGAGCTAATCGGCCATTCAGGACTGGGATTTGAAGCGGAAAAAGGGACACTGTCTCAACACTCTCGGCCATACCAAATGGCAACTTTCTAAAACAACTCTCTTGAATCCAAACGCCTTTGTACCCAAGGCAGTAAAGCGTGTCCACGAAATCTTCGAGAATCCAACCTTCCTAGAGAAGATCAATGGCGGAGATGTAACGCAGGGAAGCCTCGGAGACTGTTGGCTGATGGCTGCGCTGACTGCCCTCGCCAACGTCGAGGGTGGCATTCAGCGCATCTGCGTCGAGTACGACACTCGCATCGGCATCTACGGCTTCGTTCTCTACCGAGATGGCGAGTGGATCTACTCCATCATCGATGACAAGTTGTACCTGAAGTCTCCTTGCTGGGATTCGCCTAGCATGCAGCGGGATCTCCTCCAGCAGATCGACCGAGAGGACGTTGAGCGTGTCTACCGCAAGACCTATCAGACCGGATCCAAGGCCCTCTTCTTTGCTCAGTGCAAGGACCAGAACGGGACTTGGGTGCCGCTGATTGAAAAGGCTTATGCCAAGGCACACGGTGACTTCGCCTCGTTGGCTGGCGGTTGGATCGGTGAGGGGTTGGAAGATCTCTCGGGTGGTGTCACGACCGAGCTGCTTACATCGGATATTCTCGATCTCGAGGGCTTCTGGGAAAACGAACTTGCCAAAGTCAACGAGGAGTTCCTCTTCGGCTGCTCTACCGGTCTCCTGGATGGAGGCTATGGTGAGAGGAATGGCATCTCGGAAGGTCATGCATACGTTATCATGGAAGCTAAAACGCTCAAGTCCGGAGAGCGTCTGATCAAGCTCCGCAACCCTTGGGGCAAGATCCGCAAGGGCGTGTGGGAGGGTGCTTGGTCCGATGGTTCCAAGGAATGGACCATGGAAGTTCAAGAGGAGCTTGGTCACCACTTTGGCAATGACTCTGTCTTCTGGATCAACTACGACGACTTCCTACGTAAATTCCAACATATCGACAGAACCAGGCTGTTCCGTGACCCCGCTTGGAGGTGCGCTCAACGTTGGATCGGCGTCGAAGTACCCTGGAAATCCCAGTTCAACGAGAAGTTCCAGGTCAAGTTGTCCAAGGATGGGCCGCTAGTCCTAGTTCTGACTCAACTTGACACGAGATACTTCAAGGGACTCCAGGGACAGTACTCTTTCCGCATCCACTTCCGGATACATGAGCGAGACCGCCCTGGTGCCGAGGACTATATCGTACGCTCCCACGGCAACTATCTCATGGACCGATCCGTCTCTATCGAGTTACCCGACATGACAGCCGGAGAGTACAGCATCTTCATGAGTGTCACTGGTGAGAGGGACACTGACATCCCCTCTGTCGAAGATGTGGTCAAGCGTGAGTGCAAGAAGCGCGTTGAGAACGACAAGCTGGCGCAAGTTGGTGCCGCGTACGACTTGGCTCATAGCAAAGGTACTGCGCACCTCCAAGAGGTCGCTAGGCTGCGAAAGATCAAGGAGCAGCAGAGAGCCTCCGAGTCTCGCCAAAAGGAGCGCCGCAAGCTCTGGGAAAGACGCCACACCAACCGCGAAGTCACCAAGCAGCAGACCAAGAAGAACAACGAGAAGCGCGACCGCAAGCTCGCCAAGAAGGCGGAAGCAGCCAAGGCGAAGGCTGACCTCGAGGCAGCTCAAAAAGCCGCGGCGGAAGCCAAGAAGGCCGAAGAAGCAAAAGTTTTGGAAGATGCAGAGGCAAAGAAGAAAGATGCAGAGAAGCCCAAGGACCAAGCCGTCCAGACGGAAGTCGCTAAGGAAGAGTCCAAGGACGTTGCTGCAGGTGACTCCAAGTCAGATGGCACAAACGAGTTCAAGGAGGAATCCAAGGAAGAGTCCAAGGAAGAGTCCAAGGAAGAGTCCAAGGAAGAGTCCAAGGAAGAGTCCAAGGAAGAGTCCAAGGATGAAGTCAAGGAGGATGTCGCCGACGAAAAAGCTGCAGACAAGACTGCTCCCAAACCGCCAGCGCAGAAGTCTTACAACTCGGATGGCGATTCATCCGACTCGC